TCGAAACCTTATTCCTGTACTGAATGTGGCAAATGCTTTACCTGTAAGAGTTATCTTGTTCGTCACATTAAAACTCATCCAGGCTTTAAATCTTTCTCATGTTCGGATTGTGGGAAAAATTTTGGCCATAAATCAATTCTTGTAATTCATCAAAGAATGCACACTGGGGAGAGACCGTATTCCTGTCCTGAATGTGGCAAATGCTTTACCCATAAGAATTATCTTTTTCGTCACAGGAAAACTCACACCGGATTGAAACCTTTTTCTTGTTCTGAATGTGGGAAATGCTTTAGCCGTAAATCAATTCTTGTAACTCATGAAAGAATCCACACTGGGGAGAAACCCTATAGATGCACTACATGTGGGAAATGCTTTGCTCAGCAACCACATCTTCGTTTCCATCAAAAAACTGTGCACTGACACTTTGGTTTTGTTCAGATCGAAAACATTATAGTCACAATGGAAATCATGTAACACAGAAAAGGTTTTATACTTAAGTCTTAAATGTGTGAAATGATTTCATCACAAAATATATCTTGATTTACATTAAAAACTACAGCCTGTGAATAAAAATATTTTTTTATCTGTATATTGGAAATGTTTATGCTAAAGGCAAAGCTTATTTCACATGTGAAAATTAATGGGATAATCCAAGCCCTAAAAGGCTCTAAGAGCAGTGAATGGCAGTAAATACAGAGCTGTTCTCAGTGTACATACTGTATGAGAGAGCAGTGAATGGCAGTGAGTACAGAGTTGCTATCGGTGTACATATGGTATGAGAGCAGTGAATGGCAGTGGGTACAGAGTTGCTATCGGTGTACATATGGTATGAGAGCAGTGAATGGCAATGCGTACAGAGCTGTTCTCAGTTTACATATGGTATGAGAGCAGTGAATGGCAGCTACGTTTCAGTATGGAGCTACGTTCGGTGTACATATGGTATGAGAGCAGTGAGTACAGAGCTCCTCTCGGTGTACATATGGTATGAGAGCAGTGAGTAGAGAGTTGTTCTCAGTGTACATATGGTATGAGAACATTGAATGGCAGTGAGTACAGAGCTGTTCTCGGTGTACATATGGCATGAGAGCAGTGAATGGCAGTGAGTACAGAGCTGTTCTCAGTGTACATATGGCATGAGAGCAGTGAGAACAGAGCTGCTTTGGGTGTACATATGGTATGAGAACATTGAATGGCAGTGAGTACAGAGCTGTTCTCGGTGTACATATGGTATGAGAGCAGTGAATGGCAGTGAGAACAAAGCTGTTCTCGGTGTACATATGGCATGAGAGCAGTGAATGGCAGTGAGTACAGAGCTGCTCTCGGTGTACATATGGTATGAGAGCAGTGAATGGCAGTGAGTACAGAGCTGCTCTCGGTGTACATATGGTATGAGAGCAGTGAATGGCAGTGAGTACAGAGCTGCTCTCGGTGTACATATGGTATGAGAGCAGTGAATGGCAGTGAGTACAGAGCTGTTCTCGGTGTACATATGGTATGAGAGCAGTGAATGGCAGTGAGTACAGAGCTGCTCTCGGTGTACATATGGTATGAGAGCAGTGAATGGCAGTGAGTACAGAGCTGCTCTCGGTGTACATATGGCATGAGAGCAGTGAATGGCAGTGAGTACAGAGCTGTTCTTGGTGTACATATGGTATGAGAGCAGTGAATGGCAGTGAGTACAGAGCTGCTCTCGGTGTACATAAGGTATGAGAGCAGTGAATGGCAGTGAGTACAGAGCTGTTCTCGGTGTACATATGGTATGAGAGCAGTGAATGGCAGTGGGTACAGAGTTGCTATCGGTGTACATATGGTATGAGAGCTGTGAATGGCAGTGGGTACAGAGTTGCTCTCGGTGTACATATGGTATGAGAGAAGTGAATGCAAGTGTGTACAGAGCTGTTCTCGGTGTACATATGGTATGAGAGCAGTGAATGGCAATGCGTACAGAGCTGTTCTCAGTGTACATATGGTATGAGAGCAGTGAGTGCAGAGCTGCTCTCGGTGTACATATGGTATGAGAGCAGTGAATGGCAGCTACGTTTCAGTATGGAGCTACGTTCGGTGTACATATGGTATGAGAGCACTGAGTACAGAGCTCCTCTCGGTGTACATATGGTATGAGAGCAGTGAGTAGAGAGTTGTTCTCAGTGTACATATGGTATGAGAGCAGTGAATGGCAGTGCGTACAGAGCTGTTCTAGGTGTACATATAGTATGAGAGCAGTGAATGGCAGTGAGTACAGAGCTGTTCTCGGTGTACATATGGTATGAGAGCAGTGAATGGCAGTGAGTACTGAGCTGCTCTCGGTGTACATATGGCATGAGAGCAGTGAATGGCAGTGAGTACAGAGCTGTTCTCGGTGTACATATGGTATGAGAACATTGAATGGCAGTGAGTGCAGAGCTGTTCTCGGTGTACATATGGCATGAGAGCAGTGAATGGCAATGCGTACAGAGCTGTTCTCAGTGTACATATGGTATGAGAGCAGTGAGTGCAGAGCTGCTCTCGGTGTACATATGGTATGAGAGCAGTGAATGGCAGCTACGTTTCAGTATGGAGCTACGTTCGGTGTACATATGGTATGAGAGCACTGAGTACAGAGCTCCTCTCGGTGTACATATGGTATGAGAGCAGTGAGTAGAGAGTTGTTCTCAGTGTACATATGGTATGAGAGCAGTGAATGGCAGTGAGTACAGAGCTGTTCTAGGTGTACATATGGTATGAGAGCAGTGAATGGCAGTGAGTACAGAGCTGTTCTCGGTGTACATATGGTATGAGAGCAGTGAATGGCAGTGAGTACAGAGCTGCTCTCGGTGTACATATGGCATGAGAGCAGTGAATGGCAGTGAGTACAGAGCTGTTCTCGGTGTACATATGGTATGAGAACATTGAATGGCAGTGAGTACAGAGCTGTTCTCGGTGTACATATGGCATGAGAGCAGTGAATGGCAGTGAGTACAGAGCTGTTCTCAGTGTACATATGGCATGAGAGCAGTGAATGGCAGTGAGAACAGAGCTGCTTTGGGTGTACATATGGTATGAGAACATTGAATGGCAGTGAGTACAGAGCTGTTCTCGGTGTACATATGGTATGAGAGCAGTGAATGGCAGTGAGTACAGAGCTGTTCTCGGTGTACATATGGTATGAGAGCAGTGAATGGCAGTGAGTACTGAGCTGCTCTCGGTGTACATATGGTATGAGAGCAGTGAATGGCAGTGAGTACAGAGCTGTTCTCGGTGTACATATGGTATGAGAGCAGTGAATGGCAGTGAGTACAGAGCTGCTCTCGGTGTACATATGGTATGAGAGCAGTGAATGGCAGTGAGTACAGAGCTGCTCTCGGTGTACATATGGTATGAGAACATTGAATGGCAGTGAGTACAGAGCTGTTCTCGGTGTACATATGGCACGAGAGCAGTGAATGGCAGTGAGTACAGAGCTGTTCTAGGTGTACATATGGTATGAGAGCAGTGAATGGCAGTGAGTACAGAGCTGCTCTCGGTGTACATATGGCATGAGAGCAGTGAATGGCAGTGAGTACAGAGCTGTTCTCGGTGTACATATGGTATGAGAGCAGTGAATGGCAGTGAGTACAGAGCTGTTCTCGGTGTATATATGGTATGAGAGCAGTGAATGGCAGTGAGTACAGAGCTGCTCTCGGTGTACATATGGCATGAGAGCAGTGAATGGCAGTGAGTACAGAGCTGCTCTCGGTGTACATATGGCATGAGAGCAGTGAATGGCAGTGAGTACAGAGCTGTTCTTGGTGTACATATGGTATGAGAGCAGTGAATGGCAGTGAGTACAGAGCTGCTCTCGGTGTACATATGGTATGAGAGCAGTGAATGGCAGTGAGTACAGAGCTGCTCTCGGTGTACATATGGCATGAGAGCAGTGAATGGCAGTGAGTGCAGAGCTGTTCTTGGTGTACATATGGTATGAGAGCAGTGAATGGCAGTGAGTACAGAGCTGCTCTCGGTGTACATAAGGTATGAGAGCAGTGAATGGCAGTGAGTACAGAGCTGTTCTCGGTGTACATATGGTATGAGAGCAGTGAATGGCAGTGAGAACAGAGCTGTTCTCGGTGTACATATGGTATGAGAGCAGTGAATGGCAGTGAGTACAGAGCTGTTCTCGGTGTACATATGGTATGAGAGCAGTGAATGGCAGTGAGTACAGAGCTGCTCTCGGTGTACATATGGTATGAGAGCAGTGAATGGCAGTGAGTACAGAGCTGCTTTCGGTGTACATATGGTATGAGAGCAGTGAATGGCAGTGAGTACAGAGCTGCTCTCGGTGTACATATGGTATGAGAGCAGTGAATGGCAGTGAGTACAGAGCT